CTATGAGCCCAGGTTGTGTAATGACGAAACCCCAAGGAGGAGTGTCCATGGCAGCTTGGGCGTACAGGAAGTTGGCTAAATGATGCCAGCCATCATTCTACCCGGAAGAGGCAGGCAGCAAAATGGAGGAGGAAACAGAGACAGCATTTTGTTTTTTTCATAAAGGGAAGGGGACTATAATTACAAAAATCTTCAGCAAATTTTGCTCTTCAATAGAGCGTAGATCAGACATCCAGGCTCCTCTCATGTGCTAATGTTCTCCCTGCAGTTGTTAAGTGACAGAGTTGCTTTAAAGCCACTGATTAAACATGGCAGCCAACCAACAGGCTTCCTTTAAAAATCAATTCATTCAGTTAATAAAAGAAAGATGGTATACAATAATATCAGCTCTTATCTACCTTCCAAGTTATTCATCATAAACCTGGAAGGCTATAACATTTTGGATAATGAGCATTACATTACAGACATTAAACTGCAACTTCCTACTTACAACAGAGAATTTAAAGGGCACAGTTAAGCTAACCAAGAATAGCATTTGCAGCGTTGCCAGCAACACAGTGATAAGGCAGAGAAAGCATTTGTCGCTTTGTATCCGTTTGCAGGGATGTGCTTCTAATCTGTGGGCTGTGAAAAGTCTATACTACATCATGGAAAACAGATCTTACTAGTGTAAAGGGAGATAGTTGTTTCTCAGACAAGTTATAGCAGGAAAGTGTGCAGATCTGTGGTGGTTACATAGCATCTAGTCAGCAAATACAGTTCTGAAGGACAATTCTGTGACTGGGCAAAAGAGTGGACTCAGCATTTCTGCATCTCATCTAAAGCGAAATTCCGAGCACACAACTAAACGCACAATTATTATACATTTATGTGACTGCTTCCCAGTCAAAAGGATTTGTAGTTATGTGTACCAAGTCTTGTAATTCACACCTCTGATCAACTGACACCATCACTCTGGTGACTAATTGTTCAGTGAGCAGACAGGTGACAAAGGAAGCTAGAACATTCATATAGGAAAAAAGAAAGGGATTTACTAAAATATCATAAGCTTTAAACCTGTTATTGTAATTTCAAATAGGGATGCACTGATACCGTTTTTTCGGTATGGAGTACAAGTACCAATACCACTGCCATGGAGCCAGCCTCAAGCTGGCTCCATGTTGTCTAAACTGCTTGATTGGCTGAGAAGCCTGTTTCCCAGCCAAGTTCAATCAGCATGGAGCCAGCTTCCCGGCCAATCAGGAAGCCAGGCCGCAAGTGACCAGCCTCCCAGCTTCCCGATTGGCCGGAAAGCCGGCTCCATGCTGATTGGCCGGAAAGCCGGCTCCATGCTGATTGGCCGGAAAGCCGGCTTCATGCTGATTGGCTGAAAAGCCGGCTTCCCAGCCAATCAGCATCAAGCCGGCTGTTCGGCCTGCTCCATGCTGATTGGCCGGGAAGCCGGCTTCCTGGTCAATCAGGAAGCCGGGTCATTACTCACCGCCCAGCTTCCTGATTGCACGGGAAGCTGGCTCCATGTTCCCCTACGGCATTGCCGGTCTGAGGAAATCTTTCTCTGACCAAAAGTTCCGGTATCGGGGAAGGTATTGGAGCATTTGGGCGAGTAGGAGTACATATTGTTCTGCCAAAGCTAATTTGCATCAACAGCAAAATGTAAATCTTGTGTAAAACTCTAAAAGCCGGACAAAACTGCCGTCCTCCAAGATTGGAAATTAAGCTGACTCAGTTTTTGGGAAATATGTTTTCCTTTCTTTGTTGAAATATCCTCAAAAATGCTCACAATGCAGCACCATTTTTCTTAGGATTGCAGCATTTGGGGCTGATGAATGCTGCGGCCTTGACCTCCGAATGCTGCCTAAGCATCTGGTCATATGACTAATTGCCAAAGGGACCCCGATGTTCTCTCCAGCAAAGAGATTTAAAGCGCTCATACCCTTTATCCTCTGTACAGTCCGGTACCATTGTATTTCATTGTTTTTAACTGATTTCCACTTTGAAATAAAATTCACTCTTCCTCACCCTCTCCAGTGCTCTGTGCGGGCATAGACGAGTAGTGACCAAGCTTCTCATCATAGGAGTCCTTATACATGAAAGAGAGGGGGCATGTCTGACCAGATCAGTTACAGTGCACTGGGCAGTGTGGTCAGACTCTGGACTGAACAGTCATACCTATTAGACACATTGCCTGACTGTTATAAGAAGAAAGTAGAGGGGAAACTATAAATACAAAGGGGGGGAATGTATCAAAACTGGAGCAGCCAAAATCTGGAGCAGACACAATCTGGAGCAGATTTGCACTGCAACCAATCAGCTTCTCTGTTTCATTTTCAAATCTTACCTGAGCAAACGGAAGAGAGATGCTGATTGGTTCCCATGGGCAACTGCTCCAGATTCTGTCTGCTCCAGTTTTGATCAAATTCCCCTCAATGAGGTTAATATACTAAAGGACTACAGAACTAATATACTAAAATAAATATTCACTTTGATTACCCAATCATTTGAAAAGCAAATCCCTATGGACTTTGAACATCCAATCATGTGCAGATGAAAAAAAAGTGAACGTTCACACAATCTAAGTAAATATTCTCGACTTCAACTGAACTTTACAGAGGAATGCCAGAAATGGTAACAAATAACCCTTGCAATGGGGCTATACATACAATGCAAGGGTTAACTACTTGTTTTGGTTTAGGGGGCAAAAATAAAAATAAAGATATACTCACCTGAACCTCGGTCCCACCTGGATGCTAGACCAGTCGCTGCAGCCTCTTTTCCCCCCGGCTCCAGTGGTCTAAGGGCCCAAGACGTCATCATGCCTAATGCAGGACTGAAGATCAGCTGAGTACATCTTCTTTATTTAAGGCCCCCTAGACAAAACAACACACTTAACCCTTGCAGTGCAGGGGTAGCCCCACTACAAAGGTACATTTTTACAATCGGTGGGGTTCCTCTTTAATGTCTTCCATTGCCCTTGGTATTATTACATTTCTTGCAAACACCAACAAGGCTCTTCTCCCTTTTGCTCCCTTTTAGTCGGTTCAATAAAACTTTCCACTGAAAGCGTTTTGTTATATCTGTTTGATTAGGAGAAAAACTAAATACAAATCGGTTGATCCTGCCAGAAATCCCGAGCCATCCTGTGCACTCTGCCCTAGTGAACTGCTAAGATCATTTTAGGAAATAAAGCTGGCCATACACTGCTCAGACTTTCATACAAAAGAACATTTGCTCGACTTTCTATTAGTTGATGGGGGTCACACAGACAATCGATTTTGACTGTAGTGACAAAAGAACTGGAAGGTGCAGGGTGGAAAAATGTTTTTGTACAAACAACATTCTAACAGTGAGTGTGATTTTTGTTCGGGAAACTCCATTCATTACAAAACTGAACGTTCAAATCAAACGAAATTTCGAATGACATTTGTCAACTGCGTGATGGCATTATCGGGTGGTGAAGAAAGATCTTCGTTCAGAAATCTACTAGAGTATGGTCAGCTTAATGGAGATAAGGATAGGGGGTAGTGTTCTGTAGTCCCAACACACTTCCTTTCCTAGGGTGGCAACGCTGCTCTTCCACAGATTCAGTACAATAAGTGTTGTCTTCCTAGGACAAGAAATGTCAAAACTAATGGAGAATCACCAGGCAAAAGCCCCCAATAAATAATGCAGCCACCAAATAACTAGTAGGCTGCAGTACATTGCATTTCTGCAATTGATAACATTTCTTGGGTTTAGACACACTTTAAGGTACCCATGATGATACTTTGATAAAAAACTGGCCATACACTGCTAGAGCTTCGAGTGGTGGCCATGTTGGCACAAAACAAACCCAAACCCCCATTGCTCCTTGACAAAAGTCGCTTTTCAAAATCGAAGTCGAACTGAACATTCTCAGCCCAACAGCACCTACATGCAATAAGATTCAGCAGCTGCTCGGCATGGGAGCTTCCAAAGTCAAAAAAAGAGAAGTCACATTTTCTATGGTCAGATGGAAGAAGTGCAACAGATTCCTCCATCTACGCCAAACTGTGGATGGAGGAATCTCCCACTGGGCCAAGCTTCAGTATCTTGCAAGTCGGTCCCGCTGGCTCTCAAAATACCTGAACAATGCCGGCATCTAATCAGATAGTTCAGGTATTTTGACAGCCAGCGGGGCCGACTAGCAAGTCCACACAGTTTAGCGTAGATGGAGGAATCTGTTGCACTTTTTCCATCTGACCATAGAAAATCTGCAGATAATCTATAGTTGTATGGCCGGCTTTCTAAGAAGGTGTGCACTGACATACAGGTCAGGTATGTTGCATTAAGACAACACCCCATTTCAACTGGTTTGATTGGGAATCTTAAGGTAACAGACATGCCTCAAGCATGACTTTATTTTACTGCTCCACAATATATCATGGTGGGTCTGAGCTCTACTGAAAACAATGGATTTATTTTCCAGTACAAAGCAGAACGTTACCCATATCTTCAAAATAACAACAAAGTCACCTTTAGAAATGTTTAGTAATGACAATCTACAAACAAAAATACTTCTAGATAATTGCCGGCTTTGTATTCTTTGCATTCCTTATTTCTCTTTTCTTTCCCAGTCTCCTGACAGCAGCCATGTTTACTAAGGGCAGATTACTAGATCTCCCTCTACTTCCTGCAACTCTGACCCATGTGACTAGGACATGTGACCATGCACATCATCTCAGGGGAGGAAAATGCCTTTCCCTGAGATCTCGTGAGATTACAGATGAGATTTCCCAGCAATGCTCTGCTGATGTAACCTTCCCAGAATGCAATGCTTGGGCACGATTGCATCATTTGTGCCAAAGTGGACCAGGAAGAGGAGGAAAAAAAAAGGAATTGTAAATAAAATAAAAATAAGTTTGTTTGGCCTCATTCACTCGGGGCTAACTCGGGGCGTACACGTCCGTGTGGCGTGCACACCCACATCGGCTGTTACCGTGAGGGACAGGTGCTGCATGCAGCAGCCTGTTCTTCCCTATGGGATGACGTGGCCGTGCGCTGTCATACGCTCACCTGAACGGGTCCGGGTGACCGTACTCAGACGCAGACAGGATGGATCCGGTCTGCGTCAGAGCACAAACACCTGGACCCGCACGGAAGTGCAGTTCAGGTGTGCGTATGACAGCGTACGGCCGCGGCCCCCCATTTGGAAAAACAGGCTGCTGCACGAAATCGCACGCAGCACTTCTCCCTCCCGGGAATGGTCCGATACGGGCGTGCATGCCGCACAGACATGTACGCCCCAAATTAGCCCCGTGCGAATGAGGCCTTAAGCTAATGAATGTAAAATGACTTCATATCAGCATGCAGAACTGTATGCTATTGATTTTTAGTGAAAGGGGTAAAGGTCCACTTTAACATAACATCTATTCTGATTTTCAATGGCAGCTCCGTTTGGTGTTTAACTGTGCTAAGCCCCCGCAAATTAAAACCTGGTGTGTTCACTCTTGGGGTACATATCCATGCCGACTCTGGAACCTCAAACATATATGAAAGCATTAAATACAGAAAGCACTCTCCGACATTAGGGCTAATCTCCTGTCCTTTAATAAGGATTAGTATATACATCATACCTGCAAAGCTTCAACATGTCAGCACTAGCAATGGAATGTACCATGTTCAATTTTTTAACACAAAAACCTCTTATTTAAGTTTTCAGCCCTCTCTGGAGATGTTAATGTCTTACCTACCAGTAAAAACAGGTATCTCCGGTGTATGTGACAGGGTGCTGTGTGGTGCTTAGGTGTATCTCAGATTGTGCAATCAGTACAGCTGAACAGGACCTGTCAGTGAAGCTTCTGCCACGCTCCAGGAGATGCTTTCCCCGAGAGATGTCTATGTGCTGTGGGGCAAGCTGGAGCTCTGCTAGGTATGTAAATGGATCTATATCCGGATTCTACTTGAAAGAGGCTGAGCTTGTTCTGTGAGTGTTGGGTAAGGCCTTGCTCAGGGTGGAGCACCAAATTATTTTTGGAGCAGGATCTGTTAAGTTGCTGCGGTAGGAACAATGACTTTTGGTTCATGTGAACTCTATGAAATCGGATTCTGACAGCTAATTATTTGCTAAACTGATTTTTCTGGAAGCCTTCTTAGTGGGAAATGACAAAAGATCTGCGACTGTCTCTAAAACTAGACAACGCCCTGCTTTATAAATATTTAAAGCCCAAATGCACCTTCAGCTTTTATACCTTAAAGGGTAAGTTCAATTTCCCCCAAAATGTGAAAAAAATTAAGTTACCCACAGCACCCCACCACCTCCCCAAGCCCCCACTGCACTTAGATGTCTAAAGTCACCGGCAACCGGTGTAGCGGTCCGTATACCGGACTTTCCAGCCCGGCAGTATGGAATGTTCATAATGCTTGTAAATGGCAAGCGCTCATTGGTCAGCACTGTCACATGACCATGCGGGCTAATGAGAAGTGTTTCTTACTTCCAGATCCTGGTTCCGGTCTCAGTAGCATTCTCATGGGCCTTCAGGGTCATGTGACCAATGAACGCTCAAATTTGGCGAGCATTATGAGCATTCCATACGACGGGGCTGGGAAGTCCCGTGTACAGACCACCACACCGGCTGGCAGGGACTTCAGACACAATATAACAGACGGATATTCACCTTTGTAACATCTCCAAAATAGTCTCACCCCCCTCTGCCAATCCCTCCACTGGCTTCCATCCCTCACCCCCCTCTGCCAATCCCTCCACTGGCTTCCATCCCTCACCCCCCTCTGCCAATCCCTGCACTGCCTTCCACTCGCCCAAAGGATAAAATTCAAAATATTAACAACCACTTACAAAGCCATCCACAACTCTGCCCCGGCTATATCTCAAAGTATCACCCTAACCGTCCCCTCCACTCCTCCAAAGACCTCCTGCTCTCTAGCTCCCCGTCAACTCATCCCATGCTCGCCTCCAGGACTTCTCTAGAGTCTCTCCCATCCCCTGAAACTCTTTACCCCAACCTGTCTGTCCATCTCCCACTCTCACTGCCTTTAGGTGATCCTTTAAGACTCATCTCTTCAGGTAAGCCTATCCCACCTCAAACTAACCACTCAACCATCTCGTTCTCAAACAATTCATCCCCACAAAGCTTCCTCCTCATGTATCACTTCCCCCTCCCTTTTAGATTGCAAGCCCTCCTTACCATCTTGTCTTGAATTATATTGTGATTGTAATGTCTTCCTTATATTGTAAAGCGCTTGTTGGTGCTATATAAATCCTGTATAATAATAACAATGATAATGATAATAATAATAATCAAAAACAAAATGCTTTCAATTGTAAATTTACCAAACCAAAATAAATCAAATAAAAGTTCATGGTTAGGGTTTACGTTCACTTTAAAGCCACATTGAATAGCAGAATAAACCAAAATGTATGTGACCTCTCATATCGGAAAAAGGGTCCTGACTCAGGCATACCGCTGGCCCATTTATACAGCATGGGGTTGTGCTTTCCGGATGAGGATTGCGTTTATTTGTAATGCACAAGGGGTAACACCTTTCATCCCAATGAATAAAAAGAAAATGGCAAGAAGAGAGCCCGGTCACATGACCTGTCAAAGTCACATGACTAGCTAGCCTCTGCTCCAATGACAGTTCTCCCTGCATACAAGTAGAACTGCATGGAACACTGCAGTTTTCTATGTGTTCTTGTGGTGACTTGTGCTGATCCGGTGCCCTAAAACGCAAGTCACCTGTAGTATGTGTGGTGGCCCTGATTCTTCTCAGAGGGCTCGTTCTCACTATAGCAGTTATTAGTGATTTTCAGTAACCAAACAATGCCAGTCACCACTAGGGCACAGGAAACAATGGCCTATTAAACCTACCAGTTTCATGTTTACTAATCAGTTTCCAGATTAGCGTTATCAATAGCCAGAACCTTCCCCAATTCATTGACTGCTTAGTGACTGTGCACCTCAGACGCTTCCACAGGCACACATGTACAGTAGCTCTGAAGGCACTCTAAAGCCTGGACTATGTCACTGTCGGGCATTACGTCCGGCTCGCTGTTAGTCTCCGCCCACCGCTTGCAGAAGGACTTGGAACTTGAACGTTTGTGGTCATGTGACCGCCAATTTAATGCACACACAAGCAGGAAACTCCGAACAGTTTTACAGCTAGTACAGACAAGCCTTCCAGCAGCTATTGAGCCGCCCGATCACTTGTATGGTGCTGGGAAGTGTGCACCCTCCTGCCGCCAGCTATCCTGGCCTCCACTGTCCTATGCGCGGGCCCTGGACCAGCACAGCGGTCTCTGCACTGAGATCGGAGGGAGATCAGTACATGTCCACCGGCTGAACTCCCCCCCAATGCGGAAGTGATGTGTATTACATCACATCCACCTTCAGCCTGTCATTGCTCAGGCTGCTGTAGCAAGGAGAAGAAGCTGATGAAGCAGATCAGCTTCATCAGCGTCCTCCCGTCACCCAAAGCTCAGTATACCGCCAGCTACTGCTCGCTGTATACTGAGACGCCGCAGCCGGAGCGGATCCCAACAATTCTGTCTGGATCCACCCAGTTGCGTGAGTGACAGCTGGCTCTGCCTATCTAGAGGCAGAGCCAGCTGTACCCGCCCCCTCCCCCGTCCGTTCCGCCAGTCAGCGCTGGAGGATCGGAGAGGGGAAATCCCTGCAGGGAGCCGTGAGTGACCGTCACAGCTCTCTGCACGGATAGATCGAGAATTGAGCGAGCAACGGTATGTGTTTGCTCACTTCCCGATCTACTGAGCCGACCTGTGACAGTTTCATTGTCACAGGCCGGGTCAGATTAAAATCACTCGCCTCATAATTCTCCTTTAAGTGTCAAAAACAAAAAAAGTCATATATAACAGGTTTTTTTTTAAAAACACAAAATGTTTTCAAGCCCCTTGCGCCAACTTACATGCACATACAAACTCACACACGTGTCAGGTGCGCCTTTGTGCGAAAACGATGCTTATACCACATGTTACATATCACCACAAACGTCGCAGTGAGAGCAATAATTCTAGATCCATTAATCACTGATAACACTAAACTGATGAGGTTAGTTTTTAATGAGTCACCTATGGCCAATTTTGGGTATGTATGGGTAGTTTTTTGTGATTTCGCGCATGTGCGCAATTTTAAAGCTTGACATGTTTGGTGTCTATTTGCCCGGCGTGACCACGTCTTTTATATTTTACCAAAAAATTGGGTAATAATAAATGTTTCATAACGGAGGGAAAAGGGTGAGGTTTTTTTATCCAAAATTTTCAGTTCTTTTTTCATTGTATAGTAAAAAATAAAACCCCCCAGTGGTGATTAAATACCACCAAAAGAAAGCTCTATCTGTCCCCAAAAAATGGTATCAAATGTATTTCAGTGCAGTGTTGCATGACGGAATAAATGTAAGTCAAAGTACCGCAAGGCTTAATACTGAAAAATGTCCTGGACAGGAAGGGGGTTTAACACCCCAGTCAGCAAGTGGTTAAGTTAAAGGAGAACTATGGGGTTAAGGCTTTTCCCCATAGTTCTCCTTAGGGTAAAGGAAGGACACAAACTAGCGTCCTCCCGTTACCCTAAGCTCAGTATATAGAGAGCTGTGGCTCGCAGTATACTGAGACGCCGCAGTATACCGCGAGCTGCTGCCCCTCCCCAGTCACGGCAGAGAGCTGTGACAGGATCGAGAGGAGAGCGAACGCCGGTATGTGTTCGCTCACCTCCCGATCTACTGAGCCGACCTGTGACAGTCTCATTGTCACAGGTCGGCTAGAACTATGAGGTGAGTGAAAAGCACTCACCTCATAGTTCTCCTTTAAGATCACATGACTAAATGCCTAGGCATACAGTCACATGACCAGCTGCTGTGGGAGTCCAGGGCAATGTATTCTACAGAATCAGGAGACATCAGCAATGGTGGCCTCCATGTTTCTTTCAGTAAAGTAAACTTTGTACTGTAAATGTATATAAACACAATGGGAACCCGGACCATTTACTAGCCCATTCCTTTCAATGAGTTCCCCGGAAACCCTCAGTCTCTGATATGCAAATTCTGACTTGCACAAGGAAAGCCAATGACTGACTCCGCCTCCTCTCAACGTGTGACTTGCTGCAGTTTCTAATGCACACAGTGACATCAGAGGAAGTCATTTCAGTCCAGGAGACTGCACAAGACTGAAGGGAAGGCCGGAGTTCCGCTTTGAGTGCGCAACACATGCGAACGCCCCCAACGTCACGGGGTACAAGCCCTTCACCAGGAACACGCTGGGTGCCCTGTATGAATGCACACATGCAATGCACCGGAGGGTTCCCGGGTTCCACTGTGGTTGCAAGTTTAAGCAGCGCGCCCATTGGTTTACTTTGCCGGTTCGCACACTAGGCAAAAAAACTCACGCAAGACCGTGGCGGGGTTCTGCATTCTACCCTTGGCCCTCACATTGGCCACAATGGAAGTCAACAGGACCACGCCGCCGTCTGACGCAAAGTGACCGCCACAGGCAAAGTAAAGCAAACCTGACCACCGATCGTCCTCCTTCAACGTCAAAAGGCGTTCGCCAGCGTCAGGGGGGAGGCGAAAGCTGCAGCAATTTAACGCATGCATACACCGGGCCTGGCTGCAGCACCCTGACTTGCTTGGCTCTGGTCACTCACATATATAAGAGGAAGCAGCTCAAACCCTGCACTCACCTCTCACCGGCAGGGTCACTGGCAGAGGCGGCCACGCCCCTCCTCGGGCTCCCAGGCACACCGCTCAGCGGTGGCTCAC